ATCAATTTGGTTAGACTGGTGAATCAAATTTCTGTAACAAACCCCCTATCAATTCAAACTAGAGCACTGTCCTCCAACATCCTGGCCTCCTTTGTGACCCCCCACAATCTCCCTCACAGGGAGGTATGCTAGTACTTGGCCCCCACACAGCTGCTCCAGACAAGCACCCAATGGACCCTGCCCCTGAGCTGTACCAGAGCGAAGCCAGCACAGACCTGCCCCAGCCCCACCTCCTACCTCCTGCGAGCTCTCAGCTGCAAGCAGGCAGTGGGGAGGGGGGAGAAAGGAGGCGTGTCTGTCATTCATAGATTTATAGATTGTTAGGGACTGAAAGGGACTTCACATAATCATCAGGTCCAGCCCTCCTGCACTAGACAAACCTAAAGAAGGGCTTCTTATTGTCCTTGATTTTTGTTGCTAGTTTAAGTTTAGTCACAGCCTTAGCCTTTCTAATCTGCTCCCTAAAAGTGTAGGCCATTGCTGTACAGTCCTCCTTGGGGGATGTCCCAAGCTTCCATTGTTTGTATGCCTCTTACTTCTTTTTCAAGAGGACCATGATGTCATATTGAATTAAATAGTTTGAATGTTTGTAAAGATTGCCCATTAGCCAGTTTCAGGAAGAAGATAGGATCCATCTCCTTATCTAGCTCATTGTTTTGGAGCTACGTGCGAAATGTCCTGACTTCACCTAAAACCTTAATCTAAATTGTACCTTTAGAAGTTTTTTACAAAGAAAGCAAATGTCCTAAATTCCAAGACATCAAAGCCTAAGGCCTTTTAACCAGACTGGTAAAAAGAAAAGAGTATTTACAGTGATATGGAAGTCTCCCCAAGAATAATTTTAAAAATGCTCAACAAAGGTAATTTCTGTTGAGTAAGATCCAAGCCCAAATTTGGGAGTTATGATGAATTGAGTAGGAGGAGCCCAATGACGGCAGCTCACTCAATAAAAACCTGTAATTTACTGTCCCAATTTGGAGGTGACTTCACTTGCAGAACAACGAAGGAAGAATCGCAAGTATAAGGTCGGATTAGATTGATCGCCTAATCAAGCCTCTCCGTGAACACGAATCTCTTAGTTCACGCTGAAGCCGCGGAGCGCCCGAAAGGGACTGAAGGAAGGGGACGTAGTCCTATCACTGGTGAGCCCAGCTCATTGAATCGTATTGCTGAGGCCAGCCTATTGAACCGTACTACTGAGGCCAACCCATTAAATCGTACTACTGAGGAATGAAACCATATTTTGGTATTTGGCTTCTCGGAATTCTAGGATTGTAAGTATATTATGAAAAATAACAGTATTGATTCAAATTTAACTTTTAGTTGTAATTGTAGTTGTTTTTGTAACACTAATTCTTATAGCATTGTTTGGGAAGGAAGTGCATTCGGAGCATTGTTTCTGATATATGTAATTATTGTGTTTTTAATGTTTGTGGTGTTTCTTAAAGCTAAGCAGTGTTATATACGTAGCAAAGAGTTTTAAAATAAAATTGTGTTGTATAAATTAAGTGTGTAATCATTGTGAAATCATGCAATCAGCTAACTACTCCCCCAGCCAGTGCATCAAAACGAATCAGTAAATTGTGTGGGATTTTCTCTATTCCATAACCCACTAGAGACACATGACATCCCTGTTAAGCCAAGAGGGCTCACCAGCCCTTCTGCTAACTTTCTTTCACATGGGATTGGACTTCTTGTGCTTCAAGGATCATGTCCTTGAGGAATGACCACTCTTCCTGCACTCCTTTCACCTTTGGTTCCTGGTCCCATAGCACTTCCCCTACTATTGCCCTGAGCCTATTGAAATGTACTTTTTTGAAGTCTAAAACTTCAACCCTGCTAACTAATTTGCCTGCCTTGTGACAGACGGTGAACTTGATGGTTTCATGGTTGCCATTGCCCAGGCTACCCTCTATAATCAGGTTGCTCACCAGAGTGTCTCCTTTGGCCAAGACCAAGTTTATGAGAGCATTATCTCTGGTTGGCCAGTGCACTTTCTGAATCATATACAGTTCTTCAATACAGGTCAGGAAGCAACACGACCGATCTGACTTAACCGAGTGTTCCTTCCAAGAGATGTCTCAGTAATTGAAGTCACCAATGATGACCATGTCCCGTGCATATGCAGCTTCTGCCAGTTCTCAAGAGAACTCCAGACCAAGCTCCTCCCCCTGTTTTGATGGTCTGTAGTATACACATACAGTTAGGTCTCTCTCACCGCACCCTTTGCCCCCTGTAATATGACCCAAACCCTGCATGAGTCCTGGGACCTGCACACCCATGTCCCTGGGCCATGCTCCCACCCTCCATCATGAGGCACCCTATGATGTACAGACACACCTGACACTAGAGCCCAGGAGAGCTCCTGCACTCAGGCACAGCCCCGCAGAGCTCAACCCTGGCTCTTGCACACCCAGACAGGGACTCCAATGCCCTTCTTCTTAGGTACAGCCCCACAGAGCCTGACTCTGACTCCCACACACCAAATCTCAGAGGTCAAAGACAGGCTTTTTGAACAACTGTACTTAGCCTCCATTACCCTCAATTTTCAGGATACGGAAAAAGTTATAATGGTTTTCATCATCATCATTACTGTACACTGTATATTTATAATGTTGTAGTGCCTTGAGGCTTGGGTAGAACAACTTTGGGTAAGGTGTTGTTCATACAAGTAGAAAAGGACAGTCTCTGTCCCAAAGAATTTATTCTCAGACGACAACATAGTACAGGAGGTAAAGACAGACAAGTGGGTTAGATTGCTGAGAAGGAGAGAATGGGTGAAACAAAGGATGTGCACAATTATTTATAGATAATGAGAAGCAGCTAATATAGCCTGATATCCATCAAACCATTTGAGATGTCTAAGATAAGTCACTTTTGAGGAGTAATCTGCAATAAAATTTATGAATTTTGACCTGGAGCTTTACTTATTTGTAAGGGCAGAACAGGTGAAAATATGAAGATTCCTGTCAGAGAATGGGAGAATCATACAACCAATAATCATTTATGGAATAAATGCAGGAGTTAATCTTGCAATAAAATAAATGGTAGGAGTGGGAGGGAGAGCCAAGCTGGAGAGGGTTTTTTTAAGTAAACACAAGAAATCTAAAGCAATAAAAAAATGAGAACCAGCTGAAGGGTTAGAAGCATGGGGATAGTGATGTAATGGACTAGAAAGATGAATTAAGAAGTCTTTTGAATAGACTTGAAACAGGCAAGACTGCAAACACTGAGGTTGAGCAGTATATTTTATATATTTTATGCCTGCATACTTAGGTTGGAAAAGTCTGTGGTACTATTTGGACAAATATTATTTAGAAATATTCTAAAGGAAATGTATATGCAAGTTTTATGTAGGTGTTAACAAAAAGAATATTAGAAAGAAACAGCTGAGTTCGAATTCCATCAGCTACATGATTTTTGCCAATACTTGGAATATGAAAACCTTTTAAAAATGGAATGCAACTGCCCTGAGTTATAATGAGAGATTGATCAAAAGTAGGTGGAAAACCTGCTTGAGTCATGGTTTTCTAAGAGCGACATTTTGATGCGACAGAAAAATAGTTACACTCAAGAATGTGATACACAGGGATCTTGGTTTTCTCTGACAAAAAAAAAAAAATCCCCAATTTTCAGATTACAAAAAGTAACCCAAAATCCACATTTTTTTCATGATTAAAATGAAACACCACTAATATCTAGATATTAGGGCTGTGTGAGGCTTTGGACAGAGCTTCAGATCCAGGGAAGCTTTGGATGCTTCAGGGTCCGAAGCAGTATATCCGGGTTAAAGGCTGGCCTTGTTAGGCTTCCCGAAGCGGTTCGGAGCTGCCTTGGAGATCCAGCCATAGGGTAGCATGGGGAAACAGTAAAATATCTATAGCTTTGTTGTTTTTTGTTGGATTTGGATTAAATTTTCAGGAGTGGTAGACTCTGCAGAGAGGATGAAGCCTGCCAAGCTTCATTTGGTTTAGGGGTTTTGGGGTTTGGGGGCAATTGTACTTCAAATTCTTGAAAGCAAAACTCCTGTCACATCTAGGTGTTACAACACAGGGGGGTCAAAACTGCAGGAGTGGTAGCTCTTACTGAGGCCACAAAGCCTGACAAGTTTCAAGAAGATCGATGCAGGGGTTTGGGGGGAACTGCCCCTCAAGCTGCAGACAAGCAAAACTCGTGCCATGGGTGCCTGTGGGACTGACTGTGTCTGTACTGGGGTCTGGGAGACACTGGGGCAGGCCTGGCTGCTAAGCTGCTACCAGTTACCAATCAATCAATAATGATTCACTCAGGCACCAGGGACTGAGGGACCAGCTCAATACACAGGACCTAGCTACTACATAACGACTTAACGAGCATCAATTAGCACCTGGAAATCCAGGCTAAGCAGAGGAAAGAATCAATACAGACAATCAACTGCCCCAAGACAGACAGTCTTGGCACGAGTTTTGCCTGTCAGCAGCTAGGGGGGCAGGGCTGCAGCCTCCCCCTGCACCGATCTCCTAGGCAGCTGGCAAGCATCACAGCAGGGGCCACCATCCCTGCAGCTGTCACCACGCTGAGCCTTAACACAAGCAGTGCCACCCATGGCACTAGTTTTGCTTGTCTACAGCTTGAGGGGCAGTTCCCCCCAAACCCCTTCACCGATCTCCTTGAAACTTGGCAGGCTTTGTGGCCTCAGTAAGAGCTACTACCCCTGCAGTTTTGACCCCCCCTGAAATTGTTTCAGACTCCGGCCCCCTACCTACAGCCAGGAGGGAGCCAGTCCCCAAGCAGCCATTCTAGCATCTGCACATCTCCATTCCAGCATGGAAATCAGAATCCTCACTTGGAACACGCACCCCAATTTTGAATGGCTAATTTGGGGGAAAGGTGCATATAGTATTTCAGTAAATATATATCTCAAAACATAGGCTTGAATTAAAGCAAATCTTAAACATATAGATACATGTCTAATTCTTGTTGGTACAATATATAAATCTCATTAGAATACAGAGGCTTACATTTTCAGTAGTTCCAGTGATTACGTGCAGCCCATCATATGTTGATTTGATATACATCCCCTAAAGAAAGATGAGAGAAGGAATAATTAGTATCTCTGTGTGGTTACTGCTACAAAAAAAAAGACCTCTCTCGTGCTAAAGTAAAAAGATAAAAGACGTTTAAACAATAATATTAAGAGAACATGCATTCTGATTTAATCTTAATAGTATTTCAGCAGATTGGAGGGAACTATAGTGAATAAAAATTAAAAAAAAAACCCCAAAACAAATACATATTGCAAATCACTCGAAAAGCATACTTTCAATTTTAATGCTTCTGCACCACTTCCAGTACAATAACATAAGAAAGTCTTTGGACAGGATTTAACAACTGGCATTAGCAGGTAACCTAGACACAATGTGGCATTTATTTAGATACCATAAATATTTATATATATATATTATATATACATAATTATAGATATTAATATCAGTGTGTGTGTGCATGTGAATTTGTGTGTATATATGTGTCTGTGTGTGTGTGATCACACTATTATATACATACATATACATATATATATATAAATACATGTAAAAGAAACAAATCTGTCAGAACTGATGCAAAGAACAGAAGCAGAGACTTCAAATAACACATGCTTTTGATTTAGCAGAAATGAAACTTGACAGGTCTAGCTGAAGTGTCAGTAAGGTTCAGCTGCTAGTTTTCTTGGCTCTTGGGAAGTGGGTCAGCATTTCACTTATCATCACAAGAGTCAGATTTTCCCCTAACACTGGCAAAGTCATATTGTACTGTTAAAACATATTCATTTACAGAATCCTGAAATGGAAGTTAAAATCTCACAACAGGTTAGAAAGAGGATTTTCTTTAATAGAAAATTTTGATTGTCAGGGAAAAATACCCAAAATCTGAAATATTTTTATTTCAAAATGCTGCCATGGTGTGCCATGGGAATTGTAATTTCAATGTTTCATGTCTCCAAGGGTTAGACTTCCTTGTTGCACTACATCTCTAAGGAAACACCATGATACTTACACTTGGGGAAGGAAGGAAGTGCATTGTGGAAGTTGCATGGAACATGTACAGTGCATCATAGTGAGTCCAGCTGGCAAAAAAAGGTAGGTAACCACTTTGCTTCAGTTGAAGGGGAAAAAATGAAAGGAGGTGAGTTTACCCCAGGTTAAGAGGGAAAATGCACCATAAAAATGACAACAAGGCCACAAAATGGCATCATCTGTAGCACTGTTAGAAAAGAGGTAGCAGTAGCAAAGAGGGGTCACAACCAATGGCAAGGCATTAAGCTGCAGTAGAGTCTTTGGGCTGTCTGAACAGAGAAGGTAAATAAAGGAAAATCTTTCACATGGAACAGTGTGATTCACAGGATGGTGAAAGTGGTGGGAAACTAGAAAGGATGCTGTTCTGATTACCTCCTTACTTCAAGTCACTAAGACACATGAAACTGTTGCTTGACAGATGATTGAGTAGAAATGAGAAATATTTCTCTTAGTACATGAGAAGCATGAGAAACAGGACCAGAGTGTATTTGAAATCCTGCCCACCTCCCTCCTTGGAATTAAACATAATGTGGGACTCTGGTTGAGAAAAAAATGAAAAGCTGGAAGGGATTTACCCACTGCCACAGTGGAAAATAAATAGCAGTCTAGGGTGCCTTCTATGGCTAGGTACAGACATTACACATAAACTGATGTAAGTGATTGGAACCTGATATAAACCTGTAGCAGAACAAAAGTTCAGTGCACATAGACTGGTTTAAAAATGGTGGAACGAGATCTAAGATAGACCTGGATGGATGCAGTATCAGACTTAATCAGTTTAGATTAGATAGGTCTATTGAACTTCTGGACCAGATCACCTCCTGACTCAAGTCACAGTCTGCCAGCAGGCCAGGCACCTCTGTGGCCCCCCAGCTCCTCCTTCACATGGAGGCACACTGGAACTTGGCTTGCACTTGGCTGCTCTGAACTGTCAGCTGCAGGCAGGGGGGAAGGGAAGGAAGTGTCTGTGGCTCTGTATTTTTTATTTATTTATACAATGTCCCTAGGCAGGGGAGAGGGGGGAAGCTCTGCAGAAGGAAGGATCAAACCCCTTGGAGCTCTGGCAAAGGCAGGTGCCCAACAGCAGGACAGGGCAGGGTAGGGCAGGCAGAGCAAATGAGCAGTGGTTGAAGCATAGGTGCTGACTTTTATTTTTGCTGGGGGGGGTGGTAATATGATGCCCCCCTCCACCCCCAACAAAAGCAGAGCCAAGCAGAACTCGTGGGGGGGGGGGGGGGGGGGGGGCAAGAGTAAATGCAGGCTGCATGCTGTGGGCTCAGGGCTCCCCGCCCTGCTGCCTGCCCCCCTCCAGGAACCCTGTGCCACCATGGTGAGGTGGCCCCCGCTGACCCAGCAGCATCACGGGTGGTGGCATGGTCAGCCCATATCTGCTTCCACCCCACACACAAATCTGGGGGGCACATGCCTCACCATACCTCCCCACCCTAGGAGTGCGCTCAGCGACATGGGGCTCCCTCACTGAAAAGCTGCCTATGGTTCGGTCCCATTCCCCACACCAGCCCTAGCACCAATGCACCATCCTGGCTGAGCAGTGCACCCAGGTTCAGCTCCTGCCCCACTCCCTCTCTCACTGTGGGGGCCTCTATCTGCACCCCCCACCCCCCCATAGACTTACCTGCAGGCATGTGGGGAAGCTGCTCTCCACCACTGCCTGGGGCTGTATTCCTGGACATGTGCATGCGTGTCATAGCCTCTTACAGGCTGGAACTCTGCCAGCTTGCAAGGGGAAGGGAAACCTGCCATTTCCCACATTTTTCCATGGTAAATGGAAAACCCAGATCCCTGCACGATATTGGGAATCCAGGGAAAATGCTGTCCCAGAGTTGTGCAGCCCAAGACCAGGACTTGTTCACATTTTGGGACTGCCTTTTCCCAAGGAGGGGCCAGGGCCCTCGAGCCCCTACGTACTCAGTGCCTATGGAGTGAGGACTGCTGTGCCCTGTCTCTGCTAGGCCTGGCAGGGCCATGGTGCAATGGGAAGGGAGTGGAGCTGCAGCCACTGCCTCACCATGCTATTGCTCCTGGTACCCAGTGGAATAGGGGACTTCAGTGTGTGTGTGTGTCTGTCCAGCCTGACCCCAAGTGGGGCCATGGCATGGTGAGTCAGTGAGCAAAGCTGCTGCCGCTGGCATTTGCTGGGGCATAGGGTTTGGGTGGGGGATGTCTGTGTCCATGTCTAACCTGGGCCTGAGTGATCCTTCCCTGCACCACTCCAGGAAATCCAAGCAGGACAGGCATCCCCAGCCCCCATCACAACTCCTAGGAGATACTCATTCCCAGACTGCCCCCATGTCAGCACTTAGTGGACAGGTTCTCCTGCCTGGATCTTGATCTCTGGGCATCCCTAGCCTGGCTGGGATCCCTCACTTATCCCATGAACTCCCCCCTGCACTCCTGACTACTCACTCCTTCCTTCCCTTTCCCCTACACTTAGTTTCATGCTGTGAAGGTGCCTCCCAGTGATTTCTCAGAGCCCAAAATCATCATCAGCGCCTAGGCAAGGCAGAGATGCCCTCCACTGCCCAGTAGCCCATTCACTACTGCCTTCAGCTGTGAAGCTGTAGATAAGAAACAAGTTTACCAGGTCACTGGATCTGCCATGGGTGCTAGACACAGAGCTTGTCTGGGCCTATGAGCAGAATTCAAATGACTAAATTATAATATCAGTGCCCTTTTGCACAAGAATGTAAACTCATGACTGGGACCACCTGAAACATAACAATACAGTTAATCTCATCTCTGACTTTGGTATCAAGCACAGACCATGCCCACCTACTCTAAATTGATTATGAATAAGTTCCCCTTTCAATGCGATTGCCTCTTTCTTGTTATCAGATCCCTCACCAATTTAGGTGTTTGTACCAGTTGGAAAATATTTTGGATTCTGCCCAGTTATCACAACAACCTATACAGTGCCTTACAATTCAGGGTCTAAGGTGCTCAAGTCAAGTAATCAAGTCCCACATCAATTAAATAAAGTAGTATATCTCCAGTTTAGGGTGTTGGCCTCGACCAAACAAGCCACACTATAGTTAAGCAAATGATAAACCTCCAGAGTGATCAAGGGGTTTTGTGCATATCAGTTTCACCCACAACAACCAGAGATGGATCCAAAAGGCTAACATTTACTTCATAACCAAAGGACAATGACCTCCACATTGTCAGCTTTGCCTGATCTTCAACCCATCAAGAAACATATGCTGTGAAGAATGAGTATAAGAGAAGGATGGAGCTGCCGGCAAGGCACGCTTATCTCAGAAGGGAAACACCATGCTGATCCATCATAACCTGCACCCAGCTGACTACCCTCAATGACGACGAATCCATGCCTAATGAGAGGCTGCAAAGATGAGGACCACTTCCTTGCCCAGGCTGGTGAGAAAACCATTATTACAGCTAGAAATATACTGGACTTGACTATAGCTTGTTTTGTTTGTAGATTGCAACAGCCTACCTGTCATTTTCCTATATAGCCTTTCTGCTGATTATCGATGGAAGTGTCATGTCAGTCTGCCCAAGCACTAAGCACCCCATTTTTAATTGCAACAATGGGGAACAGCTGTTGCCAGACCCAATCCCCACATACAAGGATCCCCTTCCCCTTCTTCTTCCCCTTCCCCTGCATCAGAACATGAAGCCAGAGGTTTCTGCTGCTTGCCTGGCTAGCCTATTGTCAGCTGCCTTCCCTTTGGGAGCCCCAAGGGTTTGAGCCATACCTAAAGGCAGTCTTATGCTGAGTTTGGATAGGGCTGAACCTGCCTCAGGCAGGGGTCAGACCTGATGACCTCTGGAGGACCCTTCCAGCCCTACTTCTTTGTGATTCTCTATGATTCCTGTGGCTGACAGAGCAGCATGGGGGGTGCTCCCCCATGCCTGACAGCTAATCAGTGGTGACCTACCTATTCAGCTGTGCTTGGGAGTCTCTGGCAGCCCAAGAGCCCGTGGGGCACACTGGAAGGCATGCAAGAGTGCCCCAAGCTGCTGGC